TACACAAAAGCACACTTATTTGGAATGATGAACTGGACCATATGGAAGCTTATGTAATATAAAGATTACACATAACATCATAAATGAAATGGAAATTAGTAGTTAGTAGTGATACAAAATACAGAAGAAAGACAGAAGATCGAAAAACTAAGAAGGAAAAATTGTTATTAATAAAACATTAAATAAATACAAGTAAAAATTAATATAATGGAAGTAAAAGTAATATAACAGAAGTATGAAGTAATATAACGAAATGAAAGTAAATAGTAAACAGTAAACAATAAATAGTAAACAAATATAAATACGGAATTTAGTAATGAATAACGGAAAATTAGAAATAATAGTAAAATATAGAAATCATGTAATAGAAAATCATGTAGTGAAAAATCATGTAACAAATATTACGAAGTGAATTTTATTATATAAACACATTGAATATCTTCAAGAAACCAAATCATTCAATTTCCCAAAAATAAAAAAAAAAAAAATTTTAATAAATAAACTTTTAACACAAATAAAAATGAATACTTTTGTTTGAAATAATTAATTGTTGAACAATTAAATTATGGAAATAAATAAAGTTAATTCGCTTGTATATAAACTTTAATTTTAGAAAAATGTTAATGAAATAATGTTGAAATAAAACTTAAAAGGAATAATAAAACTATGACAGAAAGTTAAATAATATTTAAATATAAAAATACGAAGAAAATAAATAGAAGTATTAAATGAATTATAAAGGAAAAATAAAGAGAAATAATATTAGGAAGAAACATTCAGAAGTAATATTCGAAAGACACATTCAGAAATAATATACGGAAGAAATATTCAGAAAAGATAAAGATATATAATAGTTAGAATTAATAATAGAAAGAATAAAAAGAGAGAATAAACAACTTAATGGAAATAATTATAGAATAGGATAGTTGATGCCTAGTACTCGAATAGTATTCTGGATACTCATAATGAAAGTATAGTATACATTTGCTGATGGTCCATTAACGCTGACGCTACTGAAACTATGCAAGGTTTGAAAAGCTAAAACTAACATAAGAATAATAAGAATAAAGAAAAGAAGTACAATAGTTAAAGAAAGATAAAGAATAATTAGACTGAAGTTTAGACGACAATAATATTAAAAAGAAAATATTAAAGAAAATTATCGCTCAACGTGAAGAAAAGGAATTTCAGCAATTAAAAATTAATTTGTAAAATAAATCCTTTTGATGATGAGTGACAGAAACGATCAAGAAGGTACAAGCCATGTTAAAGCTTATCAAACTTAAAATGCTATACATTTGTAAAATAAGGGTTATGGCAACTACAATATGACTGAAAAATTATTAATGGTTTATGAATTATAAAATTAACTATAATTAAAATTTTAGTATATAAACTTTCTGAATATTCTAAAAAAAATTTTTTTTTCTTTTTTTTTTTAAGGAGATAATTTTTGAATGGCAATTTAACTTTTGTAACTTTTTCTTTTCTTTTTCTTGTTTTTATAAAAAATTCTTATTTTGAAATTAAGGTAAGTAAATCAGAAGTTATTTTTAGATGATTTTTAACTTTTTTTTTCTCTGGTATTATTTTTTTTAGAAAAATACTCTTTTCAAAATTAAGAGAAACTTCAAAGATGATTTTTTGATAGTTTTTTAACTGTTCTTTATTTTTTATTTAATTTTTTTAAAAATACATTAATGTAAGCTTTTCAGAAATAATTTTTTAGTAGTTTTAACTGTTTATTTCTTTATTTATTTTTTTTAGAAATACATTAAGGTAAGTCTTCAAAGGTGATCTTTTGGTAGTTTTTTAACTATTTTTTTTTTTTATTTTTTCTTTACTTTCTTTAGAAATACATTAAGCTAAACCTTTCAGAAGTGGTTTTTTTGGTGTTTTAACTATTTTCTTTATTTTTTTTTTTTACTTTCTTTAGGAATACATAAAGATAAGTAAGTCAGAAATGGTTTTTAGGTGATTATTTAACTATTTTTTTTTATTTTTATTTACTTTCTTTAGGAATACATTAGTAAGCCTTTCAAAGGGATTTACAGTATGATTTTCTGAATCTTAATTTTCTGAATATATCTTTTTCTAAAGCTAATATTCCAAATCCTAATATTCTGAAAAAGATATTTTCCCAAAATTCTAAAATCTTGAAATCTATTATATCGAATCCTGATTCCTGAATTTTGCAAAATAGACTATATCTGAATCAGGAACCCGTAAAATTTTTTTTGGTTTAAAATAAAATTTCTTTTGATTTATCAAAAAATTTTGATTTATTTTGATTTCTATAATTTTGGCTGGAATTAACAATTAGGTATGTAATTCTGACTGAAATTAAGATCAAGTACTAATAAATGAAATGTTTTTATTATATATAATTATAAAATTAACAAAATTAATTACACATGATTGAAATACAAAGTATTAAGCATTTGAAGGGAATCTTAACTCAGATTTTCTCTATCCTCATCCAAAATATTATTATAAACAGAAAAACTGCGTTTTACACTACAAGAAGAAATAGACATCCAAATATAATCTAAAGCAATTTGATTTAAAAGAGATAGATGATTATGTGAAACTTTTTGTCAAAATTCCTTCAAGTTTGAATATTCAATTAATCCCAAATTAAAGTTGCAATATATAGTCTATTCCTGAATAACATCACATGAAGGATTTGCAAATTCGACTATTGAATTACTATAAAAAAGAATATCTCGGGTTGAAATAAGATTTACAAATTTTGGATCAAATATTTGAGTTGCTTTAAAAAGTACACAACATGGGTGATTTGAAATATGTTTCCTATATTTTTTAGAAGCTGCATCATAAGCAGATTTGAATATTGACTGAAATGATTCAGATGTAAAATTAAGATTTTGAATAGTAGTAATTAAAGATTCACTAAAATTTTCCATTGCCATTATTACTCCATTATTAATATAAGTATCTAATTATTCCAACCACCCCTTAATAAAAGGAAATAAAGGAAATTTTTTGCTGAAAAAAATTTAAATCATTTATAGATTTTTTGTGCATGAATTTTAATAAAAAAAAAATAAATTTAATGCAACAATTTTTGGTTTTATCATTGTAGATTTCTACTAGCTTTTCTATAGTTTTATTATTATCATTTTTTTGTTCTTCCAAATAGAAGTCTCAAAGAAGTTGATAATGATTATTTACATAAAATGCCATTTTAAACCAAGAATTCCATCGAGTAGCAACAGGAAGAGGAACATTCATAGGATTTTGTATAACATTTCTTGATAAAAAGAAAAGATATTATGCATACCATGCTTTAGCTAAAATAAAGGTTTTCTTTATATTTGCCAATTGGATTTTTACTAAATCAAAATGCGCGATAGATATCTATGCTTGAATAATCAAAAATATATAAAAGAGATTTAGTTTAAGTTATCAAATGCCTTTAATTTAATTAATTTAATCAAACTATTTCTTACCTAATAAGATTAAAAATATGTGCTAAACAAGGTAAATGAATAAGTTGAGGCATAATTAGTTTGAGAACTTCGCGATGACAATTTTTCATATAGGATACTGAATCTGATGCCAAGGGATGTGGAAAATTAAATGGTATAGACCATTCTATTAATGTACGAACGATAAGCTGACCAATAGTGACATTGTTAACGGAATTTAAGAAATTAATCACTATAAGTCTCATATTACCATGATAACTAAACAAGATATTAACAACGCTTCAAGCCTGACTATTAGTTGTTTCATCAACAATTATTGATACTGTTTTATTCCAAAAAACTTCTTTTAAATCATCAATATGTTGTTGATAAATTTTTGGTAAGTAATTTTGCCTCAATGTATCAGCTTGTAGAATTGTGTTACTTTCGTGATAATATTTTTTAAGAAAAGGTTGGAGTGCATTTATTTTTTCTAAATGAATGTTTGCTTTAACGAATGCTTTTACAAGATCCTGAACTACTACCTTTTTAAATTCTGCAACAGATAAAACTTCGTCTAAAGTTTGAGGATGGGTATTTTGTACAGCTGTTTCATAGTTTCTTTTATTTTTAATATGAACTTTACTTTTAACATGTGAAGAAACACTAACTTTGTATTCCCAACTAACAGAATATCCACAAAAAAGACACACAAGAGAATTATTAAGGATGTCAAAAGTATTTGAAAATCTTTTTGACGAGTATATGAGGTAACTCGTTTGGTTTTGGCTGATATCTTTATAACGAATGCATTTGCATTAAAAAATTGGTTAGATAAAATCTAATCAATATCCAATCATATTTTTGTATCTTGCGATTTTGAAATAATAATATTCTTTAAATTAAAATAGACATAAATTTTGAAAATTTTCGATTTAACCAAAATCTTTCAAATTCTTTCGAAAAATTTCTTTCAAAAATTTTATGGATTCCTGATCTAAATGCTATTATCCTGAATCTCAATTTTTCAAATGGATGTTTTTCCAAAATTGGTAATATATAGGGGGTAATCTCAGTTATCTGAACGATAAGTATTTTGTTTATTTTATTTATTTTCTTTGTTTATATTTTATTTACGTGGTAATTTATAATTTAACAATTAATTATTTAAATAATTTATGTATATAAATCACAATAATTTACAATTCTTTATTTACTTCAAACTAAAAATGATTAAGATAAAAAATTAACTAAAGAATAATATAAAGCAATTTTTTATGATTATAAATGGGAAGATTCATATAAAAAATTTGCTGAAATTGTTGAATGTGATAAAATAACAGTTCATGATGCAATAAAATGTTTAAAAAAATGGGATTTGCAATACCGAAAAATGGTATGGCTCAAAAACGATTTTTAATTTGAAGAAATTTCTATCATTTAAAAAGCTCATTACATAAAATTCAAAGCACTGCCACTTTACTACTCATAAGTTCATAAGTTATTCATTAAAAAAAAAGTTTCAACAATTACTATTTGTCGAATTCTTAAAAAAATTGGACTAAGCTTATGTTTGGCTCACCTAAAACCATTAATGTCAGAAATTATCAAATAAAAAAGATTGACTTGAACATTAGAATAAAATATTGGACATTTTCAAAGTGGAAAAAGATTGTATGGTCTGATGAATCTACATTTAGCCAATTTCATAATATTATAGTTTATGTGTGTAGCAAATGCTTGAGAAGAATTTGACTCCTTCTATTTAACTGCTACAGTAAAAAATAATCTCAGATGTATATTTTGAGGATGCTTTTTATAGTATAGATTAGGGCTACAGTGAACTCTTGATATAACGAATTCTAGGATCTGGATATCAACTTCGTTATAAGCTTATAACGAATTTTTTAAAGAATTTAATTAGCTAGTTCACTATAGTAAGGTAATTTTAATATATTTGATTTAAAAATTCGCTATATCAAGGGTTCGCTATATCAAGGTTTTACTGTACTTGTTCCTCTTCGTAATTTATAACAGGATAAATATATGGGACTTTTATAATAGAATGGGAAAAAACTGTCAGAAAAATAAAAAATAAGTTAATGCTAAACTTGAATATATTTCAGCCTGAAATCATATTTTGTATATAAAAATAAATTGATTTTTTCTAGCAGTTTCTCTCTTTTCTATTGCAAACGTCCTATACGTAAAAGTATTACAGAAATATGTTGTTTTATTACTTTATAAATTAGTAACTTGTAAACAAGGTATTTTTTAAAAAGATAATGTTTCAACTCATTATGTTAAGATTGCTATTAAAGTTTATAATACTACAGGCATTTCTGTATTACTCTAACCTGCACAAAATTTAAATTTAAACCTGATTGAAAACCTTTGAAATAAAATTAACAGGCAACTTATCTAACCAATTCACAAGCTTGCAAGATTTAAAACGTAAAGTAAAAAAGGCTTGACATTCAATTTCAGTTGAACATATTCAAAATTTAGTTAAAAGTATGTCTCATCAAATTTAAGCATGTATAACAACTGAGGGTGAGACAACAAAATATTAGTTTTTTATTATTTTTTTTTAATAAAAATATAATATAAATAATTATATATAAATTAAAGTTTACTTATCCAAAAAAGATACTGTTAATTAAATGAAATATTAATTCTTTTTACATACATTATACTAATAAAAAATACAATATATTTATGAAAATAAATTAAACATTAGTAGTTGATTTTATTAAATTTCTTTTATAATAAAGATTGGTCAAGTTCAATAATTTTAATACATGTTATTTTAATTTTGGGAAAATGTCCATTCGGAAAATCTGGATTTGGTATAATTACTTTTGGAATCTTAGAATTTCATGAAAATGTCTTTTTTAAGATATTGGAATTTAGGATATTAGCTTTAGGAAAATGTATATTTAGAAAATTGGGATTAAGTAAATTGTTAGATAATGTTTTAAAGGTGGTATTTTGATGATTTTTTTAACAGTTTTCTTTATTTTTTTTTATTTCAAATGTATCTTTATAAAATAAAATATAATGTAATATATAAAAGATTTGCTATAAAAGTGGGCTTTGGACATTTTTATTAAAAATTTAATTTTTATTGCATTTTATTTTTTGATAATATTAGATTAAATTGCAATAAAAATTAAAATTTTAATAAAAAATTCTTAGAGTCTCATTTTCCTAGCAAATCTCCTATATATTTTTTTTAGTAATTTATTATATAATAATAAAATAAAATTATAAATAGTAAATAAACAAAAAATGAGTTTTATTAGTTTTAATTTTATAAGCTGATTTTGACCAATTTTTAACATTAATGCTGATTGATAGCTGATTTTTTATTTATTCAAAATGATGATTTTTTGGTAATGATCAGCAGAATTAGATTATATTTTGACCAACTTTCAATACTTTAAAATATGATAAATTGCGTTACTTTGTCTAATGATATATTCTAAAAGAATAATAAAATCATCTTCAAAAAATAATAGAAAGCTTTTCTAAAAGAATGATTTTCTTTATTATATTAAAAAATAATATATCATTATTCTAAAAGAAAAATTTCTTTTATTATTCTTAAGAAATGAAACGTCATCATTTTAAAAGAATGATTTTTTTATCATTCTTTTGAAATATATATTATCATTTCAAAAGAATAGTTTCTTTTATATTCTTAAGAAAAATATATTATTATTATAAAAAAATGATTTTTGTTATTATTCTTAAGAAATGATCAAAATATTATTTTAAAAGAATGATCCAAATATTATTCTAGAAGAATGATTTTATAATCATTTTTAAAAAAAGTTCAAATATCATTCTAAAAATAAGATGCTAGCTGAAACTCCTTCAAAATAATTTTGTCATATCTCTTACTATGTTTTTAATATAGTTTCAGCTGTTTATTAATTGCCTTTTTGAGTTTCATCCCTCATTTTTATTCTGAAAAATAATATAAATGAATAATTCAAAATCATCTGTTTAGAATATTTATGATATAATATTTTTAATAAATAAAAAATAGCAATTTTAGATTAAACTGTAAACTTATAAATTATTTTAAAAAATTTTATTTTTAACTTTTTTTTTTTTTTTCTTTTTTTTGTTTAATAAAATGATCTTTAATGGATTTTTACCTCTCTTTTCTATATATATATATATCTTTTAAAAAAGTTTTATTTAAAACTTAAATAATCATTTAAATTATTTTGTGAATTTTTAATTTTTTTAAGACATTCTTATTTTAGAATTAAAATAAATAAATCAGAGATGATTTTTTGGAATGAATTTTATTATCTTCATTTTTTTTTAATTTTAGAATTAAAGTAAATCTGAAGTAATTTTTAGATGGAAATTTACTATTTTTTCTTATTTTTTTTTAGGAAAATTATCAATTTAAAAATAAGGTAAATTATTTAAAATGATTTTTAGATGGATTTTTAACATTTTTCTTATTTTTTTTTTAATTTTCTTTAGAAATACACTATGATAAGTTAATCAAAAGTGATTTAAATGGAATTTTTGACTTAATCTTTTATTTTACTTTATCGTTATATATTTTTTAGAAATACATCTTTTTAGGTTAAATTATATTTAAATGTTATGTCTGAATTTGTTTTAATTAGTGTTTAGACCAAATTTATTACAATTTTGGTATCTGATTGTTGGCTGTACTGAATAAGTTTAATTAGTAATAAATTTAAAATAAATTTAAAATTGAATTTTATAATTATAATAATTATTAATTACATATTTAATTTCAAATTTTTTATTTAAATTTTTAAAATTATATTAATTCATCACTTTTATTTTTTATTATAAAAAAGTATTTCAATAAATCTATTTAATTAAGTAATTATATAAAATATACTAAATTTTCTTTATCAAAATATATAATAATTTTAAATTATTATAAAGTACCGATTTTAATATTATTTTTTTTATTTTTAGTATTTGGTTAAAATTTATCAATATATAAATTTTATTAACCTAATTAGAATAATCTTTTTAAAAGAATTTATTTGAAACTAATTTTAAAGTATTACTTATTTAAACATCATATTATAATTTATTATATATTATATAATGAATGGATTTTAAATTTTTTTACCTAATAGTTGAATTTTTAAAATTTTTATAAAAACCTGTAATCAAAGAATATTGTAATATTAAATTTTCATTCTTACAGTGGAAAAGTTTTCATAGATATATTATTAGGCCGGGCAATAAAATATTTAGGTTCTCGTAACCTGCTCGCGTCAATTTTTCTAAAAAAGCAAAAAAAAAATTATAAAAAATTTTTTTATCATGTGATTTTTATATAATGTGGATGTCAAGTTAGATGCATTTTATTATATTAATTGGATTGTATAAATGATTTTAAAAACTATTCATCTATTCGACTCTTCTTGGATTGTTCTAATTTGACTTTCCTATTTCTATAGCTTTCATTATATTGACTTGATTATTAGATTCTCCATCGGGAATTTTTCCACATTGAAAACAAATATCCTCAAATAAACCAGATGAATAAAAAGGAATTTTCATCGGAGAATTACATCTTAATCTATTATTAACTTTAACATTTTCGATCACATTATCACTTTCATAATCATTATTATTATTGCCATTGTTAAAATGTGAAAAAAAGACATAAATGATCAGATAGTTATTTATTTGTGAGACAAATTTTGTATTACATATCATAAAAAGAATAGATATAAAAAAACCGCGCGCCCGCATTATTTTTAAAATTTTATGTTACGAGAATCAAAGTATTTTATTTATCCGACCTTTTTATCTGATAATCTATTATTAATTAGGAACTAGCCTAACATTATAATTTATTATATCTTTGAATATTATTTTATCTTCTAACGTAAATGTGATTAGAATTTATGTTTAATTTAAATTTGAACAATAATTTATGACCTGTATAATCCTTAGACTTACATTCTATTAAATAAAATTTTAAATAAAGACCACCACCTAAAAATAATAAAGATGATTTTATGGTGGTTAAATTTTCAAAAATTTCGTCACAAAAAAAAAAAATGGTCGACATCACGTGTGTGCAATGATGGGCGGTTTGCTAACTTATTACAAATAATGGGTGATGTTTATTTATAAATTCACGTGCCCGAGCTTTTTTTGCGGTTTGATATTAAAATCACGTTCAGATCATATGATCTACTATGTCTCGCTCGTAACAAATGACCCATTTAACCAATCAATTACGATCAAACATACATATAAAGCAAGTTAAAGAATTTTACATGTATTTATTTAAGACTTATTGTTATATTTATTCTTGAAAAAAACTTTGTTGATAACATGATCGAATATAGTTCCTAACTAATATAAACACTTGCAAACGGTTAATAAATGGATAAGTAATAATAAAGTAAACTATGTAATAAAAAGTGATATGGGAATTCATGTATCTTGTCTTGTCGAAGCACTGCGGTAACACTGCGGTTAAAGAGGTCATTCGTTTAAAATTTGGTCAGACACACTCACTATGGCTTAATATTCGTTGTGGCAAACCATTTTTTTGCAGTAATGAGGGATTTTTTAATTAACTTCGTCATAAGTCGTCATATAGTACCTTTAAAACAATTTTCGGAGAAGAAAGTCATGTGTGTTTCTTTTTGAACTTCATTTATATCGCATAAAACACTTTTAAACCAACTTATCAAGTTAAAAGCACAATTTAAATACATTATATCACATTCATGGAGCACGATAAATTGTTTGATTAAAATTAAGAATAAAATTTATTAAAAAAAAATTACATAATTCACGCAATAGCTTCATACAAGGACCTTATCGATCGTTTACGTGAAAACGACTCATTCGAATGAATCATCTTCATACGGACAAAATGCAACTCCTTACATTAGGAGGCATTATGTCTGAGGGATTTTGGTATCTCTGATGCCATCCATATCAAGAAACCAAAATCCAGCCAGCTAAGTTTTAAAAAGAGATTTGGCAAAAGTCAATACGAATAATTTTTCGATACCATTATATACCATTATACACAATAATCAACCAACTTACCCAATGTATCAACATTGGCTCCAAGTTCCGATCGATCGGAGAGGAAAAATACAATATGTATTAGCTAAACATATATAACCCAATGTTAGTTCAATACAACGGCAAAAATTCGAACAAAATATAAATCAATCTAACTTACTCTCTCCATTTTAATACGGTAAAGAATATTAAATTGAACTATTAATATATCAATAGAAAGTGAGTTGTATTTGATTTTTTTAAATTTTGAAAATTTCATTTTGTTTTATAATATTAGATTTAGGATAATTGATATACTTGATAAAAATTTGTTTGGTAAAATAATAAAAAAAAAAGAGGTAGAAAGAATTAAACGACCGTTTAAATATTGAAATTTATTCATACGTAGGCAATCCGGTTAATATATAAAATGAATTTTTCCGATAATATAATTAAAAATGGTAATTATAATAATCCATATTCTCTTCTTATCATTGGAAGGTTGTTATGTGATACAGGTAAATCCTTTCAAAGAGTTTCGGTTTAGGTTCAATTAATAAACTATGCATTGCATCGATTTCGATACACATGATTATCAAAAAGAAAAAAAAGATCATTTTCGGTAAGATTACGTAATTTATTACATAATTTAAAATTTTTAATGAAATCAAATCCGTTCGAAAATTGTCTTTAATTATAAATAATAAGTATGAATTCCTCATTATTTACTTGACATATTAAGTTATATATATCACATGTTTACATAAGTAATTACATAATTTCACATTAATTGGCCAAGATTCGGACTAGATTCTTTTGCACGAACGAACGAAAAGGTTAACAACTAGGATAATAATGAGGTGGTGATTTATGAGTCGTTTCTTTTACTTGATTTGTTAAAGTTTGGGTTCCGCCCATTAAAAGAGATTTGGAATGTTCGAATCTTATTAATTATGAATTGCATAATCGGAATTCTAAAAAAAAAAGAGAGAAATCTCCAAGACAAAGAATATGAATGGGCTAACCAGCTAGACAATATTTTTTTCGTTAGCCTTTTTTAGTAAATTTAGGAGATGTTTTACGTAACCGCTTCATATCAATGAATGTCGTTATCTGTTCTTATATGACAGAATTCATTATTTGATTACCCAACAAAAAAAAAAAATAAAAATAAGAGAAGAAAAAAAAATACGGCCATTCAAATTTAGTTCTATTGTCCCTATACACATTGTATTTTATTGAACACTTGTCTTATCTGTATACATGACCACAATAAAGTACTTTTAAAAATTTTCGTATTTTGTAATGAACATACTATTACAATAAGATCGTCCAATAAATACCAGGGCTAAGAAGAATGGGCTTAGAAGAGATAGTAATGTGTAACCCAAAAGTTATTGGAGTTTCTTATCGGATGTTGAATTCCGTTCCGAACAAGGAGTTTGCGTAAACAGCCCCGTAGACATTTCCTTTTTCAATTCCAACCAAAGACATCTGATCGATACCGGTTGATCGGCAAATCAATAAATCAATAATTACAAAGAATTTCGGTTTGGATCTATAATATACAATAATATACAATGGTTTCAGCTGATAATTTCCAATTCTAGTCAAGTGAAAATAATCTGGAGATTCACTAGCCTTTACAATGCGGTCATGATCCTAATTTCTGTATAATGATGAAAGAATTTTTTACAGAAAATAATTTGTTTAAAGATTTTTTTTTTTTTTTTTGAAAGACAATTTTCTAAATTTAACTCTATTATTCAAATCGGGGGCAAATAGATAATCTGTTTTTATTTATAAATTCGCATCAAAAATTTCATGATCATTGGTTGAAAAATGATTTAAAACGCGACACTGTATCTATGGTGAATAAACTTTCTAATTAAGGTTAGATCAATAATAAAAGTGTTATTAATTTACGCAACAAAAAAAAATGTACACATGAAATGATTGAACTCATTGAAATAAAATCGTTACACCAATCCAAATCGCGATTTTTTTTCTTTGACATGATATTTCATTTTTCATTTCATTTTTTTTTTTTTTTTTTTTTTTTTGCAAAATTTTGAAAAGTGGGGATTTTATTTTTGAAGTGAAATATTTCAAAATAATTAAAAAAAAAAATGGGTGTTGATAAATGGTATAATGTTTTTAATTCATTAAAATAATAATAATAAAATAGACGTCGTTTTGCCGTGATATTATCCAAAAGACTTGAGTCGCATTAAAGTATATCCGTTCTCGAATCTTATGGAAAGATATATCAGGTATGTAAATTACATTGGTAGAAAACAACACATATTTACAAGATTTATGAAGATAGTTAACTCTCATCCATATTTTTAATTTTAATACTTTTAGTAAAATTGATGGATTTAAATATAGTGTATGCTAGAAGCTAATAGATGAATTACAAGAACCAGATGAAATTATTCATCAAAGATTCTATCAAAAAGTTCTGCAACGCGTGATTTAGAAATGATTCTTCTGCGAGATCGAAACCTAAAAAGCCATTTGACGCGAAATCTCCGAACGAGTTCATTCAAACATATTTTTTTAAATTAATAATCACACATTCAATATATTAATGGGTTAAGTGTCGGAATTATTCTGATGACAACGATCAATTATGAACATATTTTATGTAACCTTTTTAAACCGATATTCGACGATTACTATTTAAATCAAGTGAGCATTTTCTTTTAGTAATCTGATTATTTCGAGCATTATTTAAATAATATGCTAATTAGTTCGATCTGGTATACGACTAGTTTACATCATTCCGCAAAAAAATTTCTTGCGATCTTTAATATCTTTCGCCTTATATTTTTATTTCCTTCTTTATAAATTTATCATGTTTTACGATTTTCGTAACAAAATAAAATTTTTGGCCAAAGCTTACTTTTTATATAGTGTACTTTTATCTTTTAGAACAATCATTTCATAAAGAAAAAAAAATTGATTTTGAAAAGTAATAAATAAAGTCCGCTTAGATGTTGAACAGTAATCTTTTGCCGCCATCCATTTTTGAAAAAATATACGTATATATGATCGACATTCACTATGCCATTAAATTTGTTTGTTTTTATACCCTTTTCTTGCGTGGTGTAAATATACTTTTCTGAACAACTGTATACATTTTTATTTTATTTACCAAAGCACCATTAGTTGGGATCGATTTGTGGTCAAATTAATCATGTGTCGGCGTTTGGATAAATAACAGAGTCGAAATTATTGCCAATAATCAGGGTAATAGTACGACACCCTCTTATGTCGCTTTTACCGATACGAGACGTCTTACTGATGATGCTAAAAATCAAGCTGCCATGAACCCTAAAACGTCTCATTGGACGTAGACCAGGAAATTCAATCCGATAAAAAGGTAAACTTAATTGATCATTAAAATTATCCAATTTGATAATTTAACATTCAACTAACAATACATAATTGTTAGCATTGGCCTTTCAAGGTTATCGGCAAAACGAAAATTTTCATACCCGAAGTAACTTCTTCAATGATATTGATAAAGTTGAAGGAAATTGATGAATCTTTTCTTGATAATTCCGTAATCACGCCACCAGCTTACCTCAACGTAAAAGGATGCCGGGGAAATCGCTGGTTTGAGTTCACTTCGCATAATTAATGTGGCAATTGCAACGGCCATTGCTTTTGGTTTGTTAATCAAACTAATAAAATACGAAGCGTTCTTTCTATGATTTAGTTGGAGGTTCTATTGAAGAAGATTTATTTCATTGTAAAAGCTGTTGCAGGTGACATACATTTTGGAGGATTCCTTGTAAAACATTTTGCACAAAGATTCAAGCACAACTTTAGGAAAGAAATGCAAGAGCTCTCCGTCGATTAAGAAATGTTTGTGAACGTGCGAGCTTAACCTTTCAGCATCACTACTAAATTCATTGAAATTGTCGAAGGTGTCGATTTCTATACCTGCTTCAAAAGAGCTAAGTTTGAATAGTTGAATATACCATTGTTTCGATCTACAATGGAATCGGTTAGAAGAGTACTCAATCGACAAAAATCAAATCCATGACGACGTTGTCCTAGTTGATGGCTCAACGCTCGTTCTAAAGGTTCAAAATATGGTATCTTAATTATTCTATTAGAAAGTACAAAACATATCCATCGATCATGATGAAGCTATGGCAAATTGTGCTACTGTTCAAGCTACTATTTATCTCGTGAAAGTTTCAAAAAGACTCCAGGCTTTCTTGTGGCTGCAATAACTCTTGTGTTGAATCTACCGGTGGCGGTTATTATGCGTAATACAACATTTCCTAATAAGAAATTACCACATTAGTTGACATCAAACTAGAATAAGTATTCTAGTTTATGAAGGAAAACGTTCCCATACAAAAGAACTATTTTGAGTAATTCGAATTCGACCAGCATCAAAAGGCGTTCCAATGAAAAAATCATATTTGATGTTGATGAAAATGGTATGCTTAAACGCATGAATTAGTTTTATTAACTATTATACTTCTTACTATAATTATAATCTTATATTAATTTCAATTCATTACAGGTAGCTGTTGATAAAGCTGCTGGAATATCGAATATGATAAACATCACAAATGGTAAAAGTCGATTGTCAAGAGATGAAGTTAAACGTATGGGCAGTATCAAGATTTAAAAATTTCTTAACTAAACTTTATAAGTAAATTTGTATAATGAACTCTTCTGACAAATTATTTATAATAATAGTTGACGAAGCAGAAAATAACGTGAATATGATGATAGAGTCGTACAAATTATATTCTAACGAAATGCATTGGAAAGTTATGTATATAACATACGCAATAATCTTATGTAAGCGTTATTTAACTAGTGCTCCGAGCCGGTCGAATCGACCCGGGTCATTTGACCCGACTCGAGAAAAAATTCGAGTCGGGACTATCATTTTATGTCACGAGTCCCAATTTCTTAAAACCCGTCGGGTTAGGGTCTCGATTTTGCTTGACCGGGTGACCCGAATGATCAGGTGATGCTATTAAATGATATGTGATATGCGCCACTTTTTGAGTGAAACTATCGACCTTATTAATTCCGATAATACAGCTTAGCTTCTCTTGGAAATCGAAAATAATTGCGAAGTGAACTTTTTTCCAAAGAGCTTTTGAAGAGAAACTTCTTCCACCTGAATAAAAATTCAAAAACACATCTGTTCAAAAACAAATCGAGAAGTTAGATGTCTTAACTGCTCGTATCTTTTTTAAATAAAGTATCATTTGGTATATTTTAGGTTGATATTTTTTTTTCAAAAATGTTAGTGGACATAAAACGTGGCTCCGTTATTTAGAGCGCAATCATCCAAATAGAAAAGAAATTATTTTAATAAACCCTGTTGAATCATTTTAGACTTAATTTGCGCATGAATTCCTGGAGCCAATAATATATTTAAAAAATCTAAATTTGAATTAATGTACAACCAAAAAACTTTAAAAATAAAAAACTTTCAAATTTAATACACATTTTTCATTATAAAAAATATTTTTTTTACTTTCGGAATTATTATTACTTTAAAATTCGAGTCGAATACGAGTTAAACAATATTCGGATCGGGTCGAAACAATAATCGGGTCGAGTCGAATTCGGGTCCTGTAAATATTAACGGGTTCGTGTTCGAGTTTGCTTCAAACCCGACCCGACCCGACCCTTACGGAGCACTATATTTAACATTTTTAATTATTATTTATCGACGTTCCTATCTAAATTCCTAATTCATGATATCCCTAACCTATAGGACGAAAAAATTACTAGACATTTTTATTTAATAGATAGAAGAAAACTTTTGAAGCTGCCATTCAAGAGGCTATTGAAATTAACCAAGAGAAAGCGAAGGAAGAATATGATTATAAACAAGAGTCACTCGAGAAAGTCGTCGACTCATAATGAAGCATTATTATAACGTAAGGTATTGAAAAAGCGAATATGTATTGAATTTAATAGTTTTCTTAAATCGATTTCTCTTTCTAAACCTAATGTCAAAATAATAAATTTTTCGAATAATTTGACAATTTTGGGAAAATATTTTTAAAGATTACATTTAGATCGACTAATTTCTGTATAAAATTTTATTCGTTTTTTTTTTATGATTATTTGGGAATTTTCAAATAAAGAAATCATTATTACAATCTCTAATGGATTAATTAGCTAATAAAAAATTAAATTTAATACCTCCTGATACGAAATTGTAAAGTATCATCTTTCGTCATGATAAAATATCGGAAATCCTTGAACGAAACAAAAATCGGTGATTTCATTGCAAAATTTCGAAATACCATAACTTAGTTGCGCATTATTTCGCGCGAGTGATCTAAACTAAATATGCATATGCAAGGTACGATTATGCAGATCGGTAAGATTCGCAAATTTGCATCGTACCGATGATCCAGTACGACGGTATTACGAAATAATGGTACCGTTCCTATTACACGTGACTACACGGATTTTGATCATAAAAAATTATATTCTAGATTTATTAAAATACTAAATTCCTAATTTTACTCATAGTATGTTATAGTAGTACCGCAGTACAAATTGGCGAATTCTCGAAATTCGTATCGTACCGGTCAAACTACCCTTACCCTTTTTTTATTAACTGAAAATATTGAATGATCATCTCGCCATGAATTTGTCCGAGTAATAACTCGAATGATTTGTCAAATTATTAATATGTTATTTATTGATATTGTAATCTCAGATTCTATGCATTTAAAGTCTGCGTAAAAAAACTGATTCGCTTAAATCAAATACAATTCGAAAATTGTGTATTAATCTTTAATATAAAATTAATCAGCTCTAACCAAATCAGAAATTTTATTCGTTATCAAATTTTATCAAGGAAATTTTGGAATTTCTGCCCACGAAACATATTAGCCGTGAGACGATCTACGAAACCTAACTAATAAAAAAAAATTATATATTTTAATTATCGTATAAAATTAATTTAAAAAACTGAATTATTTAACAATTTTATTCAAATTCTGCGCGTGGATTTATTTTGACCTATTTGTGTCTGTCAGACCTTTTGATATTTGATTTTTTTAGTTTTAGCTGGTATATTTTTCTTAGTTTGGTATATCCTTCCACAATAAGTTTATACATCTCTTTATAAATTTATAGTAAAGTTTTTCTTTAAGAGGGGAAAATTTCCTCCCATCATGTGATTTGTGACTGATGATGTCTCCTTAGTGCAATTTTCAAATCAATGCATGTACGTTTATATTAAATTTTATTCAGTTTAAATTTCATAAAACGAATATTCTACATGTAATGAATCCAAAAGACTAATAAAATAATATACGTTGGAACAACAGATAAATAATTTTTTAACGTAAAAAAATATTTTTAACCACAAGAACTTTAATGATAATTTCTCAGGACACTTAAATATATGATCAAATCATTTATCAAATTTGTTATTATGAAGATTATACAATGTTTATTCTCATATTTATATTTATTTTTATTGTGTTGTGTACATTACCAATTTCATTTTATTTATATCTTTTAAAAATGCATATCCGACAGAATTATAACCTCAATAGATTGATTTATTTTGGACTCAAAATTTACCAACGTTACGAATTGTCCTTGTTCTTAAAATTTATTTCTTATTATCAAATGTCATACAATCAAATCCATCTCGACTTTTTATGTGAATCAAATCCAAACCTATTACTGTTATTATATGAAAGAACATTTGAATCATTTCTATCGAAATCGTTACAAGCTTTGGTTTCATCATTGTCGATGCGCGTTTTCGAGGAGGCGGTAAAGTAATCGATTTTGGTAAATTATTTTTATAATAATGTCCTCAGAAATATTTTTATGAATAATTTCACGAGAAATTTTCACAAATTGAATAAGGGAATAATTGACTTAGTTTTCTTCAAAGCTTAACAATCGTCTTATCTATATTTTTGTTAATACTTTCCACTTTGGTGTCTAATCAATACTTCATTTAATCCATCCCAAACTTCAATTTCCAAATCACCTTTTCTATTGTCGGTTTTTGTAGTTTAAATGAAGACAATTAGATGCTAATACTAAATTTTATTTAATACAACCATTGGATTCTTTAAGCAAGTATTTTATATATTCAAATAATTCCTCAAGGAGCAATTATTAGATGCAAATAACAATCCAAGTATGTCTTCACCAGACTTCTTGGCAAAATCCATCCAGACTTACGTAAATTTATCTTTTTTAAAAAAATAAATAAATGAATCAATGAATGAATTAACTAATATAAAATAAAAATTAAAAAAAAAAAGCTAAATTAGACTTGATTCAACTAGAAGAGTAAATCTCTCATAAAATATACTGTAAGCGTGCACATAAAAAAACTGAATGCGCTCTAATTTTTTTGTATTTTGATTTGAATGATAAAATTAAGAATGGAATATTGAAGTCATTTTTGAAAAAATGTAAATTTTTTTTTTAGAGCTTTTTAACTATTAGCATTTGTGTTACCCTATTTATTGTTAAGCTGTATAACCATTTTTTACGAATTCACTGTAACTATAATTTAAGGAATTAAATAAATTTAATTTATGTTTTCTATAAAAGTTATTAAAGCGATAAAATTTTCCTATCGTTGATAAGATATAACGGTTTAGTAATATTGTCTTCTCGTAGAGATGAATTGTACGAATTCTGTAAGTTAAAAAATTAAGTAAACTAAACCTTTAAAGATAATGAAGATAACAATATTCATTTAAATATATTCGGATTCATGGGCATTATGTTGTTCTGGAGAGGAGTAACAAAGGTTTTTAGAGTTCTTTATACAAAATCCGAAATTTTGCTGATAAATAATGGTTTGCTGCCATTAGTGAATTTATAATTCCGAAAAATCCTCTTCTTTCGAAATTTAAAAATTTGATATGTAATAATCCAAGTTGAACTCATAAGCGAGAACATCTATTATTACGAAGAAACTGTGTCAGCAAACCCGGAATTAGGTAACCTGACGTATCGACCGGTGGCAAAATCGAAATAAGTTTTGCCAAAATTTTCTTTTAAAGGCAAAACCGCGGAATTTTCTGCGGGTGATAAAACTTCAACCCATCAAATCCCTTTAATACTAATTTTCACTTCCCTCAAAATAGAATTCCTTTCAGCAACATTTAAATACAACCTTTGGAAATCTGGGAAAATCTTGAAAAAAATTTTCTTAAATCTAGAATATGTCCGAATTGATGCCTAGGTACGAAATATTCTCTAATATGTTCAAATTATTTTTCGAAATGTTTCGACTTTTGCCAAATGTATTACCTCTCAACCTTACTTGAAAATCGATGACTTTACCCTCCAATCAACTCAACGGTCACGAGGAATAGTAGAAGACAAGAGATGATTACATCATTAAATTTCAGGTGGACATAAATGAGATACGTAATTATCCCGGTAAATTTTGAAAATGCATATTCATAATTCTTTACAATTGCAAAGGTTTATTTAAGTCAAGAATGACAAAAGAAATTAAAGTCAACAGCTACAATATAAGATATGTATTCAATTATGAATTTCTTGAGCGTGATTGGATAATTTTCTGTTTTAATATTTCCATTTAAAGACGTGTAATTTTTAATATTTCTTAGAAGTAGTTCACGGTATTTTCATTTGGGTTTTTATTTTTTCATTAGGCTGCGCTTATTTCTCGATAAAAAAAAAATAAAAAAGATTTTTGGTTATAATCAATGCATATGCGAAGCAACAATGATTCTTGTATCACAACAAATATGCATCTTCTCTTTTGTATAATCTATAGATATTATGCGGCGTGTTTATTTACATTGGTAACATCACACTAAGTGACGTTAAACAATATGAATAACACACCATATTATCTATATTATTTATCGTATCATGCTTTATAAAAAGCTTATTGACATCCTAAACTTTTTATCCTTAATTTATATTAATCTTTAACATTATTTCAAACTAATGCTAATGCGAAATTTATTAAAAAAAAATAAAATTTATATTAAATTTAAGAGATGTAATTTATAAATTATTAGGAAATAATAATTTATTGCAAAATTTTAGTTAAAATTATTTAAGAATACAAAAGAATGAATATTAATGCTTTTTCACGTGGTTAATTCCCAATTTTTATAACAGAATTCCTTATACAGTTACCGAATATTTATATAGTTTAAGTAAAACCTTCTCTTCTTTTCAGATGATATAAGTCAAATATATTATGTAAACCATTGCAATGCAATAAATCAATAAATATTAATATGGAAATTTACATAAAAAAAATATATTTGCCAAACAAGATCAGCATGATCCTATATTTTAATGGACTAACAGCGCCCAAACTCAATATTTTGGTGTAACTCATCCTCCTTATACGGAGAACATTATAAAAAGAATTTAAAATTAATATCGTTGTCATTATGACTACAAGCATAAGCAACAAGTTCTGATGCCAACTCCGTCTGTACGAAATCAAAGCCCTGGCTGAATTAACTTAGCGTTAGTCTTTAAACATAAATTTCTTAAATATCTCATCTTGAACTTTTAATAATTAAATGAGGATCATTGTTGGAATAGAACCAACAAAGACTAATAAGTTACACCTGATCTCGCGTCATTCAATTAAAAATTAGTGTCTTGAATTGTTGTCTTCCTTATTTAGCTAATCACTTGTTCCACCTACCAAAAACAAGATGCAACAATATTTTAAAAAATTTTTTTAACCATAATTAGTTAATGCGGAAAAAATACTCATCTTGAAAACACAAATAAATTATATAATCAATCTATGACATCCTTTTGTATTTTAGTAATGATCAATTTTGGAAACATTTTATTTAATTTAATATTGTTCTACAGTAAATAAATAAATGGAATTTCTTCTGAATTTTCTCACGATCTCAAAAAGTTTGCGTCATTTACGCCTTTCATGTGAAGAAAAAAAAATTTTTCTAAAATATAAACGCGCAATTTTTTTCTCGATTTCCCTGCATTTTCTTTAAAAAAAAAAAATATTAAAAAATGGCTTCAAAATTCCATGAAAGTCTTTCACAGGACCTTTCAATAATGTTAAATGATTCTGATGATCATAATATTATTATACAAGCCGGAGAAAATGCTAATATAAAAGAATTCCGAGCCCATACGAATGTCCTGAGGGCTCGTTCGCCTTATTTCAAAAGCGCACTTTCGGCTAAATGGGTAACTAAAAAGAACAATATGTTTGAATTTAAGAAACCAAATGTTAATCCTATCGTCTTCGATATGATTCTCAAGTATGACGTTTTCTAAAATTCAAGCCAAATCACTTTTATTATAACTAATCTTTCCTTTTCCTTCTTATATTAAGATATCTTTATACAGGAGAAGTGGATTTGACAAAAAAATCAGGTATTGTCATTCTTGGATTGTTGGTTGCGTCCGATGAACTTCTTCTCGAGGAATTATTTAAATATGTTCAAGATCATTTGATTGAAAAACAGACGGCTTGGGTCCGGCAAAATTTTGTTCTTGTTCTACATACAGTCTTTAAACTTGATAGTTGTAAGAAACTACAAGACCATTGTCTTAATTCTATTTGCGCAGACCCACAACCATTTATTACCTCAAAAGACTTTCCATCACTTGATAAGGATATTTTTTACGGTTTGCTTAAGCGAGCTGATTTGCAAATCGAAGAAGCTGTTGCATGGGATTGTTTAATTAAATGGGGAATTAAACAAACTCCTAATTTAGGAAGCAAGAATAACGATAGGGCTAAATGGAATGACAAAGATTACGAAGAATTGAAGAACACTTTAAGTCGATTTATTCCCCTTATTCGATTTCCAGACATTAGTTCTGATGATTTTTTTGATAAGGTTCGTCCTTATAAACCTATCATTCCTCCTCATATTTATGAGGAAGCTATGGAATTTTATTTGAAGGATACTTTACCGAAAACGCCACCACGATTCTTTAAGTGCCAGATAGAATCAAACATTATTAATCCAAGGTTTGCTTATGTAATTGCAAATTGGATTGATAAAAAAGACGGGAAAGCTGCTCGAAATAAATCAAATTTAAAATACAAGTTCAATCTTGTATATCGAGCTAGTCGCAATGAGATTAATAGTAATAACTTTAACAATTTTTGTTCTGGACAAGCACGATACTTAGTGTTAGTAATGGATCAATCTTCAAAAATATATGGCGGATATAGTCCTATTGGATTTAATGTTTCTAGTAGGTATAATTACTGTGCTAATTGGCGACCTACAACAGATAGTTTTATTTTCTCTTGCGAAAAAAATGAAGGGAATTTCAAAAAGATGAAATTAAGTCGTGTAACAAATAGTAGTTATGCGATATATGATTATTATAATAATTATGGATTTAATTTTGGTAATTCTTTTTATATGAGTGGTCAAAATGTATACTTGCAGTACCAAGGATATTATGATGATAACGTTATAAGTTCAGAAACGAATATTAATTTTGTTCCCAAGGAAATTGAGCTTTTTAACGTAGCGTAGTTCCTTCGTAATCTGTTTAATTCAATAAGTTCACTATAAGTTCAGTTCATTATAATACATAATAAAAAATGTTCACATAAAAAAATTTTTTTTTTGATATCATTTTATACAATGTAAATTGAATATTTATTCATATCGCGCGGAGTAGATTTTTATCGCGTAATTTTTAAAATACAGAGCCTATGTTGTGTTGTCGATTTATTTCAATACTACGCTCATTCCTAACCACTATTTGGCAATTAGACGAATAAATAATAATTGCCAAATAAATTTTAGTACAATTGGTCCAATATTTAATTGTACAACTAGTTTCACCTGAAACATTACCTCCAGTTTAGCTTTTAAAAATTTTTTCGAACTTTTCTTTTTGACTCCAAGAAATTTCGTATAATATGTTTATATATCAATATAACTTTTATTTTAAAATTTACAAAATGCCTTTCCAAAGACATGTTAGTTTAGTGATGTTCTATTTATAATTTAGAATTCTTAGGTAACGTTGTTGCTTTAAGCAATCTTAAAGGAGAAATTTGAACGAGAATGGTATGAAAAGATTTGTTAATTTCATAAAGTATCCAAAACATTATTTTGACAGAATTCTAGTTAATAATAATTCTAATTTCCTTGATTAGAATAAATTACACATGAACACACATGAAAAAGGTGTTTTTTAGTGATTGTTTTATATAACTGCGCAATGTTACAGGATTGTGTCACAAATAAGTAATTATTATTAGATTATTTTTCACGCTTTTCACTTTGATGTGAAATTAAATATGATTTACTATCGTAAAACGTAATCTATGAGATTTATTTGTGAAACAATTTTAATGATGAAATAATTCTACAAAATGAGTGCATTTCTTTGACCATTATGATTTCCATTATCCGTTATTGCGGTGGAAATAGTGTTGCGATCAGTTCTTTAGAGTAGAGTTTATATTTATAAACGAATGTATAATATAGCAGAAGGATTTCAATTATGTAATAATTATGCAAAAATTATTTAATAAAAACTAATAAATCAGTACTGCCTCAAACGTCGGCGCGCTCTGTACTTTACGGAGTTAATTTTATTAAATGTTGATCCTACGAAATTACTACAATCATTATAAGTATCAAAATAAGGGAATATCGGAGAAATTATATTTTATTAAAAATATATCATAAAAACTTGTCTCACTTCCAAACATCAATTCCACCATTTTTATCATTAATTTCGAAAGGACTCGCCCAGAAGACAGTGGTCAATTTGGCCTATGCTGATCTTCAAATCTCAGATCAGTTTAGATTACTAACTTTACTTTGTTAAGCAAACAGCAATTCATAGATTTTTTTTATTAAAATAATTAATACATCACATGCGTCTAGCCATTGTAACAATAGGTAAAGTTGATGAAAAATAATCACATGCATTTTGCGGTTTTTTAATCTTAATAACTTGCGAAGGATTTCGTATTCCTGATCAAAATGATATGTTATTTTAGGGTTGGATCGGTCCTGATAAGACCGGTGTTAGTGATAGTCTAGTTATGACGCATTAGTACTGCGCCAATTACAATTAGCGAATGATGATCCCGTCGATCATG